GCTCAGACCAAGCATTGTAAGTGACAAACGTTGTTGAACACGTGCGGCCATGATAAAAATCATTTATTGACAACGTAAACTATGAACACAATACCGAAATAAAATTACCGGTAACAATATTTATTTAAAATGCTTCAAAGTCAGATTCATCATCAGATACACTAAAGAGTTGTTCCCATTCTTCTCGAATTAATTTATCATCAGTTTCTTCGCTTTCTTCTGAGTCTGAATTCCACAGCAGGTCGTCTTCTGTGCCGTCCATTTTATTGCTGATGCCGCCCCCTGTACGCGACGAGGGGACGTTTTTTTTTTCTTCGCCCTCGCGTGAGCGGCTGAAGCCCGGAAAAGGCACAGTGCGAACTCACAATTCGCGTCATATGCAGAACGTTTTCTCCTGAGTTGCCATCTAACGGGAAAGGGAAGTGCGTCTCGCCAGTTCGGGCCACCCCCTGTACGCGACGAGGGGACCTTTTTTTTTTCTTCGCCCTCGCGTGAGCGGCTGAAGCCCGAAAAGGCACAGTGCGAACTCACAATTCGCCTGCGCCCTCAATGGACCGGCCGCCACTGCGTCACCCCACCCCAGCCCTCGTTTATAACGCGCACCCAAACTTTGATTTCTTTTTTTGGTAGAAAATTTTGCGCGTTATACTCGAATAAATACGGTAATTTTTTTAGCTGGGAAGCTTATAGGTGGAATATGTAGATCACCAATTTTCAGCAAGATGTTGCATAATTTAGAATACTAATCTGGATTTAATAGCTGATTTTTCTGAAGGACCCCTTTAACTTTTTCTATTTGCAGGTCTTCTGGCTAATCCCACCCACTCCGCAGAACTTAGAATTATATGAAAACTGGCTACTATCAGGGAAACAAGGTGACATCTTCCTTGGTGACAGGGTATCAGATTGTCAGCGTATTGAACTAAAGCAAGGCTATACCTTTGTCATTCCCTCAGGTATATATAAACAATGTTGCATAGGTAAAAACACAGCTACTGAAAAACAGTTCTAAACAGCAGATTCTTAGTATCTTTTTTATTGCTAAAAAAAACTATATGACTGTTGTATTAGAATAATACAGTACTTCTTATGGTTTGATTAAGCCTGGGATATGCTTAAACTTGAATGGACAATTCTTGGATTAACTACAGCCTATCTATCTTGTTTTAGCCATCTCCAGGATCATTTTGCTAAAATTCAGTGAATCCCCAATTTTCAGCAGCAAAACCTTTGACTTTTATCTTTTCTGATTTTCTGAAAGGTTGGAAATAAAACTAAGTTTAAAATAGCCATGTAAGTCTCTATGGAGATTCTCAGTCATCCAGGTCATGGTTATCTCAAAGTTACTTTTTCAGAAGGCAACTGGACTTCCTTGTTTTTCTTTGAAGACGTTTTGTTTCTCATCCAAGAAGCTTCTTCAGCTCTGAATGGATGGTGGGGAATGGAAGGATTTATATTCCTTGCAGACAGCTGGTCATTTGCATTCTTTTAGATAGTTGTTGAGGCCATTTGGAGGTTTATCTGTGTCCTTACCTGAGTGATGCAAATGTGTGTGGAGCCTTGGCTGCAGGATGTTTTCTGCCCTGTGTCCCTTCACTGTTGAAGACAGGCGCAAGCTTTAGGGATGAGTCTGTGTTGTCTGCATCTCAGACTGAAGCACAAATGGTTCCTGTAGTCTGCAGTGTTTTCTGGAAATCTGTTCACACTCCTGCACCATTCGAAGAGTGTTCATCCCAAAGTACATAGCTAAGTCTCTGGTATATCTCTCTAGTAATGTAAGCACTTTATCCCCTTTGCTTCAGAGGCCTAAAAATGCTTCTGACTTAAACAGTATTTATCCGTTTAGGTCAACAGGGCAATCTGCAGTGCTGGCAAATTTTGTAGAAAATATTGAGGGAAGGGCAATGGGCAGTTATTCTAAGAAACCAGAAAACATCAAACCTCCCCTTCTTCCAGTTTCAGGTGAAAAATGTCATTGCGCCTTTGTAAACTGCATGACATACATTGCTTAAGCCAGGTTGGATGTACCTTTCTATAATCCTAGGACAAGTTGGAATTAAGAGTACCTTTTTTCTGAGAAGATTTCGTTCAATAAATACAACTATTGGAAGTATAAACTTATGTAAATTACAACTTTAGAAATACAAGATTTTCAGCCATGCAACCTCAGATGATCTAAATGATGGCCTTTGGTCCTTAGGTTGGATCCATGCTGTGTATACTCCTACGGATACCCTAGTTTTTGGAGGAAACTTTCTACACAGCTTCAACATCCCTATGCAGCTACGAATCTATAGCATTGAAGACCGTACACGGGTAAGAGATTTTCAGAAATGTTTTTCAGATTTGTATAACTAACACATTGTGGAATATTACTATCCCTATTAAAGTTCAGTTTTGCAATCACAAAAGCACTAGGTAAACTAAGAAACCCTAAAATTTCAAGGTATATGACTTAATCAGAGAAACAGTGTATAGATGTCTACATTAGGTAGCCACATTCTTTTCTAATACTCAAAAGTATGTTTTTGAATTGTAATTGTTATTTACGATGCTCATAATGGCTGGGCACAGATGATCCACTTAACTGGATTAAATCAAGAGGTCATGTAATCCCAGAATCAGTTTCTATCATATCAGCTAGTCCTGAAAGGCCAGAAATGAAGCATTATAATAATAGGCTTGTTGATTATTATCCAGTGTCTAGTACTGATCTGAAATACAGATCAGTACTTTCAGTCTATGTTTAACTGAATTCTGATACTCTCCATATGGTTTTTTTTTTATCTTTCCCTTATTTTTCACTGCCAAATTATGCCACGAGTTGATGTTTCTGCTAAGGCTTTACTGTGCTAAGTAATCTTGGCTCACTTCAAGCTAGTTATTTCATTGACTACCTTTGATTCCAAATGATTTATAATAATCACTGACATCAAGACAAATCCTTTGAGTAAATTACTTCTTTTCATTGTGTAGTTTAGTTGATTCTGTTATCCATTCAATAAGTTACCAGTCTATAAGCTGGCAGCATATCATTTCTGAAGTCTGGAAAACTTTTATGTCTAAACATGACCAAGTTAACAAGCTTAGATAATAATTTCTACTGGTAAGAGCAATTTTATCTATAAGATCTTCTTTCACACAGAAAAGGAGACAGGTTTTACAATCTCTTTCCATCTCATTTGTTCATGATGTTTGAGAGGCCTTTCAGAAGTGTGAAATTATAACATGAGCAAGTAACAAAATATAGCTCACCTTCTATCAACACTGTTGGATCGAAGGCCTTCTGTGAACATGAAAGAGCGATGTTATTTGTAGAAAGGGTGTCTCCATGTAGAAAGACTCAGCAATTGCTGAAATTCTAAAAAGCTAATGAAGCAAGGCCTTTCCTTTATAAAAGCCATGCTGATTTTTTTCCCTTTGGTACTCTAGTTGCTCTTCAGATCAGAAATCTTCATCACGCTTTAATGTTTAACTTTTATGCACATTGAGCTATCCTTAATAATGTTCTCTAGTTTATATGGGACAGAAGTTAAGATGACCTACATCTTTTTTAAAGATTATATAGGCTCCTTTGAAGTCCTCAATGGGAAAGCTAATTTTAATAAGTTTATATTTTAATTAAGAGTCTGGAAAAATGCCACTGGCCCCACACTGAATTGTAAAGTATGAATTAATTAATATTTGTTGAGAGAAGACAGTAAGACAGTAGTTTTCTACATACTGGGGCATTTTGATTTCCCTATAAGGGTAAGTGAGAAAAATGTGGGGGGGTATTAAGAAAATTGCATAACTAATAGTCTAAGAAATGCTGTTTTCTTGTATCCTGCCCCTTTACAGGTCCCAGTTAAATTTCGTTATCCCTTTTATTATGAAATGTGCTGGTATGTACTAGAACGCTATGTCTACTGCATCACTAACCGTTCCCACTTGACCAAGGACTTTCAGAAGGAATCACTTAACATGGGTAAGAGCTGCTATTTTACCTTTCACTTTTCTGATTTTTATTATTATACACACACGTACACACTTTTGATTTTAACAGATAACCCTTGAAGATAATACCACACCAAGAAAAGGGTCACACACAGAGATCTAAGAGATTGTACTATGACTTAAATCTAACTACTGTATATGTTCACCTTTAATGCTGTCAAAAAAAAAATCAAACATATTTAGTCTGATATTACTCCTTCCTCTGTATACAGATATGGAACTGTGTAACTCAGAGTCAGGAAATGTGGATGAAGACGATGCTGTGGGCGGAAAGGAATCACGTCGTCCAGTCACTAGACGCTCAATCCTTACCAGCCCAGTAGCCAATGGTGCTAATCTAGACTATGATGAACTAAGTAGAGAGTGTCGAAGTTTGCCAAGTCTTAAGAGAACTCTCTCCATGGATTCTGAATCCAGTCGAGGTTCCCAGAATGGCCAAACGTGGGATTCTCACAGCAATTGTTCACATAAAGACAAGAAGGTGCACCTAACACAGTTTGAGCTTGAAGGTCTGCGTTGTCTTGTAGACAAGCTGGAATCTTTGCCTCTACACAAGAAGTGTGTACCCACAGGCATAGAAGATGAGGATGCTCTTATTGCAGATGTTAAGGTAAGATGGAAATACTGTCTTTTTCTACAGCACCTTCAAGTTAAGGAACAAAAAAAAAACAGTAATAAATTGAAAGATTTCATCAGGACTGACTTCTGGATGATTATAGCTAAGTGTGCTGCACTAGTGCAAGCTGGTTTAACACTGGAATCAAAATAGTTATTTTATTTTGTACTTATCAAAATTCCTGACACTATTCAATTTGTCTTTGAAAATGTTTCTGCCTTCTCTGCAGTACTAACTAGAAATATGCAGATTTGTCAGTCTGAGAATAATATATCCCATACTATTTCATTTGCATCCCAAGAGGAGGTTCAAAATTTTTTCCCACATCCCTAATATGGGCACAGTTGTTATCAACTTACATTGATACTGTTTTATATATGATAGTTACTGTTACAAAGTTGTTTCCTGGAAATGAAACAAGGAAGTTCCTGAATTTTATCATATGAAATACTTTGTATAATAAGGCCACTACAGTATATATCTTCCATGTATTTGTCAGAGTCCCTTAATAATTTGAGACTCCTTTATGTATATCTCTGGAAGGATTTGTTGGAACAGAATCCTTGGTAAATTACTTTTAATTATGCTTTAAGTTGCCATTGTTAGGTTCAATAATACTAAATATATGGTCACAGCCAGCCATCACATAAGCACAAATGTAATATGAACATAAAACTGTGAAGTATTACTACAAATTAATAATTTGTCATTTGCCTGGAAGCCAATTAAGTTTTCAAGAAAGCAGAACATAATAGAGTATCTACTGCTTCATTAACTTCTGATAACCTCTTAAGACTGGATTCACCATCTGTTAGAATGTAGCTTGCTTATGAAAAGTTTGCTGAATTGTCTGGATTTGCCTCATATACTAAACCATAAATCATAATTTATAAACCAGTATTTGGATTCAGATAATACAAGTCAAGCCCAGTCAAATCACATTATGGTATAGTGCAGTATAAGAATCAAGGCACAGTAACTATATTTGTGTATTTTTGCTCCTTATCTCTCTGGGTTTTTTTCTCTCTTGTGGTTAATTGAAGGAAGAAAAAGGTTTGTTTAATCCAAATGATCAGCACAGCCACATTAAGACTGAAAAAGATTATTGGAGGGTTATTAGAGGTGTGCATGTGTAGATGTGTTTAGAAGCACAAGCCATTATGTCTCCTAAAGATAACAGCTGCCATTTGTTCAGTTGGTGTTTTATGGGTACTGCATGTCATTTGTCTCCTGAAAAATGGTGACAAATTCAGAAATTTCCATAGAAATGGTAGTGTCCAATTACATTGTGTAGTCTGATAAAAATAGTGTGAGCGCTCAGTTAGAAATACTNTAGATGTGTTTAGAAGCACAAGCCATTATGTCTCCTAAAGATAACAGCTGCCATTTGTTCAGTTGGTGTTTTATGGGTACTGCATGTCATTTGTCTCCTGAAAAATGGTGACAAATTCAGAAATTTCCATAGAAATGGTAGTGTCCAATTACATTGTGTAGTCTGATAAAAATAGTGTGAGCGCTCAGTTAGAAATACTACTTAGTTGTATAATTCCAGGTAATGTTATTGGTGAAACCCACAATCCATAGTAAAAAAATAAAACTATGAAAACGTTAAAACATTATTCCCCTAATGTTAGTTAGAAAGCTGTGGCATGTTCCAATATACCTGTAAGCAATTGTATAAATTTGAAAAGGGATCATTTACAGTACAGTCTGCAGGCATTTTCTTTTTTCATAGCATCTGTAGGTTGCTCTCTTGTATTCAGCAAGCGGGTAATATGTCCAGAATTCTGCTTAAGGCTATTTAAAAGTTTAGTAAGTTTGAATGCATTGTCATCTGTTAATAGTTCATATACGTGCAAACTAAAACATTTAACAGTATGTAAAACATATACCAACTATCTGTTGTACCACAATAGCTAGTTGTATATTTTGAACATTAGCACCTGTAACATAGGCATTTCAAATCTATTGTTGCATTGCTTGGGATAGAAGCATTATATAAGGCCGTATCTTTAATGTTTGTTGAATCACTGTTATCCATTTCAGCCTTTTAAATATACCAGCAAACATTTTTTTTTCCAAATTTTTTTATTTATTTTTCCATCATAAAAAAAAAACAATCATAAGTAATCACAATAAACAATAAAAAAAAAAACCCCACCCCCCCCCAGACTTCCCAAACCTAATCCCAGGATAATATTCATATAAAAGTAAACAAATACTAATATCTCTAACTCCACAAAATATCACCAGCAAACATTTTAAACACCCAGTTTAGGGAACCAGTAATACAAGGTACCATCCAGCAATACCTGTCTGGCTGGTATACAGCACACCAACTTGTCCCTTAATAGTCTGTTATCGCAAGTTTGGGCTGAATTCTGAAAACGTCGGTTCACGAGCAAGATTATACGACACTGAAACATTATCAGGTGCAAGTTTCACTTTTAGAATGAGCTTTCTGTGCGGTCTTTAAACTCGCATTTTAAATACAAATCAGACGAATAGCTACGCCGGTGTAAGAAACTAGTCGTGCCTCTCTCTGCCGTTTCACGGATCAAGACCTTTTTCAGGTTCTAATCTAGGCGGCGTCAAAAACAAAACCAAAAAAAAGCCATTGTTCCTGTTCAAAGGCAGCCTTACTGAGAGGAATTTGCTTGTGACCAAAATAGTGATGCAAGGGCGGGCAGGGAGAGAGAGAGAGAGAGAGAGAGAGAGAGAGACGGAGCCGCAGCAACCCCGAGAACGGGTTAAAAAAGCTTCTCTGTTCTGTTCTCTTCAAGTCTGCCAGTCAGCCCTCGGGGGGGGGGGGCTGCTGGCGCTGGCTTCTCCAATTGCAGCGCTGGGGGAGGGGGAAAGGGAGTCCGCTTAGGCTGGCCGTCTCGACCAATTAGCGAGCAGCCAGCCGCTTAGTCCAGCCCCCCTCCCAACTCTGCAGCAGAACGGGCTTTCCGTTCTTGTTCTTCGCCTGGCTCGCTCGGCCTCCTTTTCTCTCCTGCCATCTTCCGTTGCAAAGCACTGCTGGGAACTGCATGTGGGTGACGCAGCAAGCATTGTTTGCAGGCGGAGGAAGCTTCCGCTGAAGGGTTCTGGAAAAGGGGGAGCATGCTCCGGCGAGGCGGCTGCTCGGGCTGACCAGAGTTGTGTAAAAGTGGCCCCCGTTGCGCTGAAATCCTCGCCTGGAGAAGGAGGATTGTATGGGAACCAATTATACCTTGAGGGGAAAAAAAGATCGAACCCGAAGCGGTCACCGGGCAGACTAGAAAACAAAGAGACTAGGAAACTTCCTGCGAGAGACCCCTCTTCTGGGCGGCTTCGGTGGAACGGAGCACGCAAGGTCAGGCAGAGCCGGAACTGTGGGGCTGGGGTTCAGGATCGGGAGTGGACTTCTGCCGAAGGAGCGGGTTTCTCGCGTTCCCGTGGAGAGCTTTCGATCGAGGTTTACCTGCGGGTTTTTCTTTCGGGGTACTCGTCTGCATTTGGGGTCGGGGTGGGGGGGGGAGTGTTTGATAGAACGGGAAATGCAAGGCCGTTTAAGCTTGGCTTTAGAGCAGAGGTAGTCAACCTTGGGCTCTTTTATGACTCGTGGACTTCAACTCCCAGAATTCCTGAGCCAGCTTAGCTGGCTCAGGAATTCTGGGAGTTGAAGTCCACGAGTCATAAAAGAGCCCAAGGTTGACTACCTCTGCTTTAGAAGGGCAGCGAGACCCCCAGACTTCACTTCTGCAAGTTCGCCTGCGATGTGTTGGATATTTGAAATGTTCCACCGTAGTTTTTTTTTTTTTTTTCCTACCCCCTTTTCTCCTGCTGCCCTCGATTGGGGTCTTTCTCTAAATGCCCGTGGGAATGGGTGGAACTGGGTGTTTTCGTCCTCGGAGCTTTACACGCCTCTGACTGAAGGAGTTTCTCTCCCCCTCCCTCCCTTTTGCCCTGAGCAGCATGTGTGATCATGCCCTCAAATGCCGACCTTTCCTCTTAAATATGTGCCGTAAGGAAGAGGGCGGGCCTTGGAGACTGCACGTTCTGCTGGACTAGTCGCGACAGTCACTTCCTCCCACCCACGGTTTTTTTTTTTTCTCGAAGGGTGGGGAAACAGCTGCAAAGCAGGGTGGATCAAAATCCGTTGGAAAAAAAAATTAAATCCAACTAAGTTTTGTTAAAACACGCAGATTTGTTTTTTTTTGAATAGACGTTTGATCTACATTGAAGTTTACATTCGCTTTTAAAAGGAATTCTACGATATTTTATCAACTGCTTTGTAACTTCCTGAAATAAAGCAAAAGTAAAATGCAGGTCTCATAAAAAAATGTCATAAAAGGCTTCAGTTCTGTTATTTAAATTATAAATGTTTAAGTGGATAATGGTTCTGGTCCTTTAATTGCTGTCCATGATGTGCGCTAGTAAAAAAAATGGTGTTATCGGTACAGCAGTCCAAAGGATACAACTTTATTGTGACATACACATATGATTTTAATCCATGCAAGTTGCAAGAATACTTTGAATATGTCTTTGAACCAGATCGCCACCATCGCTTATTTATCTGATTGGCAGGTTTTGTTACTGATTCTGTATTATTTGCTAAAGTGCCATTTTATTTTAATGTTGAAGCTCTTTACATATATCTGTTTAATTTTATATGTGAGGTGGTTCCAAAATTTTAAACAGAGGTTTCTTCTCCTTGATTAGTCAGCCAAAGGTGAAAGGGAACATTTCTTTTTCCTGTCTTCTACTTTATTAGGGGGGAAGTATGATCTGCTTAAGGATTACTGATTTGGGCTAAACAGTATGTATAGTTTCTGTGTCGTAAGGAAATATTTTTCTTTTGCAAGTTTCATGTTCACATTTAAACATCACTTAAATTGTTGCTTATTTCTATATCTGTAAATAAAATGTGTTATCAAAATTCTTTCTTTGAATAGATTCATATTTGTCATTGTATAAAGGTGATAGTCTGCAGGATTACAGATTCAGCAGTAGGAAAATTTAGTTGTTTCCTTTGTTGCATATATGTTCATTACTTAGAGCAATCTATTAATCAGATGGATTAGAAGATGTGTTTATATTTGGTTTAAATCCTCAGTGTTGGTTTCCCCTAATTCTTGGGGCAATTTTAAAGTCTCTCATACTAATAGACGTTTCACAGCAGAGGCTTCATATGGGAATATGAATTCCTTGCATTGGTAAGTGCCAGCAAGAGCAAGCCCAGCCCATGCAGTGTTCTTTCCCTCTTGGCTGCAAGAAACACTGCACTCCCTGCACAAGGCAATGCCAGTAACGTAACCATAGTAACCCCAAGTAAATAAAGCACATCTGAAACGGCAATCAAGAGTGGGTGGATGTGGGGTGGACAGCAGAAGCATCAGAAACGAGGAAAAGCCATTTAGGAAGAGATGCAAAGTCACCTATGATTTTAGCCACGTGCTGCTAACACTGAGCAACAGACTGGTGACTCAGGTTATTTAGTGCTATATGAGAAAGACAGATGAACATTAAAGCAACGTTATTAGAAAAAATAGCCTTAATTGGTGTCGAGTTTTAGGACCAAATTGTCTGTTTTAGGGTTAAAAGTAAGTCTAATCACAATAGTTTAGCATTGGTGCATTAGACATTCCTTTCTGTAACAGTATGGAAACAATAAAAATTGGATTGTGAAGAAAGTCCATATATCTGCACAGGTTTTTGTTTTTTTAACTGAAGATGGTATATGCTTTCGATAGTTAATGTAGATTAGGGGTAGCATTATGCAAAATCTTCATTAATATGCGGGACTATTTATCTTTACAGTAAGTTACTGTAAGGATGAATATTAAAAGTGTATTGAATAATTTTAAAATTCTGTATAAAGTTTAAAGGTATGTTTTTATTTTCTCTGTTCTGCTATAGCTATTGCTTGAAGAGTATTCAAACAGTGATCCCAAACTGGCACTTACTGGAATCCCTATTGTCCAGTGGCCGAAGAGGGATAAGGTAAATAATGGTTCTCTATATTTGTTCTGATAACTAGAAAATTTGTGTTGAAAATACAAATCCTTCCACTGTGTTGTTTTGTTAAATCCAGCCTCTTATTTCAGTTAAAGAACCAAGAAACAGACTCTTGCTGCTGCCTTTATTCCTACAAATGCCCATGACTGTAGGAATGCATTACAGAAAATAAAATTAAGGATAATGTACGTAGCAGTATTTTTAAAGTGTTGATTTCTATCATTGCCAAAATTTAGAATTAGTTAATGATAAAATAATCCTGTTATTTAGACATCTTATCTTTGGGAGAAAACTCCTAACCCCTTTCCCTTTCCATGCATTGTTTTTTTCTGTTCCCATGTTTAGAGCTATTCTGCAATTGAATGTCTGTGCATATTGCATTGTGGTCTTTTTGAGAAAAAGGATCTTTGGTATTCTGAGTCCTACGGGAGAAGGGCGGGATATAAATTCAAATATAAATAAATAAATAAAATAAAAACCTCTAGATCTAATACTGTTTTTCCCCACTGACAGCTCAAGCTTCAGACTCGGCCAAAGTTAAGATTACCTGCCATCCCTATCACCAAGCCCCATACCATGAAACCAGCTCCACGACCTGCAACTGTGAGACCCACAGTCTCTCCTATAGTATCTGGTGCACGAAGAAGGCGGGTGCGATGTCGTAAATGCAAGGCCTGCCTGCAGGGTGAATGTGGCATGTGTCATTACTGCAGAGATATGAAGAAATTTGGAGGGCCTGGTCGCATGAAACAATCTTGTATCTTAAGGCAATGTTTGGCGGTAAGTAATGCTACAGGAGGAAAAATTGGTTGTCTTTGTGAAAGAAGTAAAACTTTGATTTGTGCAAATGAAGGGGATGAAACCTGTGATTCTTTTTGAAAATATCCCAGAATCCAAATCCAAAACTCTCCTTGAAGTCCAGATAGAACTTTCTGGTATGATTTCTTGTTTTATTTTGTAGCCCAGACTGCCTCATTCTGTCACATGCGCACTTTGTGGAGAGGTAGATAAGAATGAAGATTCCCAGGAGTTTGACAAGAAACTAATGGAGTGCTGCATCTGCAATGAAATTGTTCATCCTGGCTGTTTACAGGTGAGGAGCTCTAAATTCCATACAGGCAACTTGATTTACTTTGCTATAAGAATGACACCAACGTGAGTCATGTTGCAAATTATTGCCAAGTTTTCTTTCCTCTTTAGATGGATGGGGAAGGGCTACTGAACGAGGAATTGCCAAATTGCTGGGAGTGCCCAAAGTGTTATAAGGGAGATGAGGCAGAGAAAGGCCAGGTAAGAAGTGATATTTTTTAATTGGTTGTGCATAGTATGCTGCTCTTGAGTAACAAGACAAATGTGGAGGGGCTCAATACAGGTAGTCCTTGACTTACAACCAAAATTGAGCCCAGAATTTATGTTGCTAAGTGAGAAGTTTGTTAACTGAGTTTTGTCCCATTTTACAACCTTTCTTGCTACATTTCTTAAATTAGTATCACGGTTGTTAAGTGAATTTTGAATTCCCCATTGACTTTGCTTGTCAGAAGGTAGCAAAAGATGAGATCCCGTGACCCCTGCAACCGTCATAAATATGAACTAGTTGTTGAGTATCCAAATGTAAATTACATGACCATGGGGATGCTACAATGATCATAAGTGTGGTAAATGGTCATGTCACTTTTTCCAGTGCTTTGTAACTTCAAATGGTCACTAAATGAACTGTTGTAAGTCGAGCACTACATGTGCTTTTATGACTGGGAAGGTGAGATTTGTGCAGCATCTTGGTTTATGTGTCTTGAGAACCGTTTGCAGGAAGTGCATAATACTCGCAAGTGAGCTTTTGGTTGCTACTGCGGAAAATATCTGCATCTATTAATGAGCACAAGAGATACTGTGCATTGTTCATAATAAGCAGATGGCTTCACAGTTTTGTCATATGACCTTCCTGGAATCTACAGAGAATTGGGTATATAGTAAATTATGACATTTTACCCAGGGGAGATCAGCATCCAACTATTAAATAGCGAATACGTGACTGTGCAGAAGCTGCAAAGTTGGGCTGTTGCGCCTGCTACCCCCAACAAAGATCCTTCTAGTGAAAACTATCCACGGTGGTAATCTCTTTTTGAGCATTACAAGACCTATTTCCAAATAGGAGAATATTTGCCCTCTGGGTGGTCCTCCAATACTTCATTCCAGTCCTAAGTAACTCAGATTATAGTAGTAAGGAGTCCTTGTAGGAGCCATTGATTATGACATACTGTATGTGAAGTATTGTTTAGCAAGGGAAGAACTTGGCTCATACCCTGAATATTTGCTGGAGAATTAAATATTGACAAAAAGGAGCATCTTCCTAGTCTGTATGTTAAACTAGCAATTCAAAGAAGCTGTGTTTTAATTCAGTCTGGAAGAATAATTGGCTTGCTTCTCACATATGCTATACAGTATCGAAACTTCCTAGTTATATTTGGTACCTCGGCATAGATAGTTTTGAGCATATATCGCTTTAAATTTTGGTTAAATATGGTAGGTAAAATACACATTTGTATGATCAGTACAGATAATTTGAGGCCAGTTGGAAGAAGAAAATATATTGTATTCAAATGAATTAAAGGGTTTGTGGAAGAAAGGTGGTTCTGGTCGCAGTCAGTTAAATTTATAGGGACTCTCAACTCCCAGAAACTTTGGATGGTTAATAAATTGTTAAAAACATTTCAAATGTAACAAAACAAGAAATGCAAAAAAAAGAAAGAAAGATGGCAGAGAAAAATTTGGATGGGAATAAGGAAGAGGAAGCAAAGGAGCATCAATCATTTCACCAAAGATCTGGGCAAAGGGCCATATGTTGAGGGCCCTTTGAAATATCAATACAAGGGGGGCTGTTTGAATCTTGGAGGTGGAATCATATCCCAGCAAACAGGTACTGCTACAGAAAAGGTACACTTCTGGGGACTACCAATCCTGCCAGATTGAATCAGGCCAGGCAGATAGTATGGAAGACAGGTAGTTTTTCTTCAAAAATTAGTTAGGGGGAAGTTACGACTCCATACAGCAGGGGTCCCCAACCTTGGCCACTTTATGACTTGTGGACTTCAACTCCCAGAATTCCTCAGCCAGCAGTCCATAAGTCATAAAGTGGACAAGGTTGGGGACCTCTGCCATATAGAACAGATAGTGGAATGTGCTTTCCTTAAAAACTTGAAGAATTTATCATGAACAAATCAATTGCATCATTTCCTGAACCTGGAGGCTTTGCTCACATCATTCATGCCTTAGTCACTTCCCATCTAGATTACCACAATGCTTCAACTGCTCCAGAATACGGCAGTACGGATAGTAATGGGCATTCATAGGTTTGCCCACGTAGCACTTCTATTGTGCAAGCTGCACTACTTCCAGTTCATTTCCAGGTGGAAATAAATGTACCGGTCATCATCTTTAAAGCACCATACATATGGCATGAAGCCAAGTTATCTGCGGGGACCGCCTTTACCTAAGGATATCTACCGTGTTTCCCCAAAAGTAAGACCTACCCCAAAAATAATGATTTTTTTGGGGTGGGCCTAATATAAGCCCTACCCACAAAATAAGCCCTAGTTTTTGGGGCAAGGTGCACGCCTAAAAATCAAGCTGGTGTGGGGGGTGGAACCGCACCCTGCACCCACTTACCGTTGCAACCAGGCCTCCCATGAATCGACACCTGCCTCACCTTGCCGGTCCTTTCCAGAAGGCTCTGATGGTGAAATGCAGGCCCGGGTGCCGCATGCGTCAATCCAGAACTCCATTCTTAGCTGTAGAAGCATTTCCTGAAGGCCTCTGACAGCAAATGGAGGCTGGGGGTGATGCGTGTGAGCGGTGACGAGCAGCCGCAGAAGAAGTGAGCCAGCTGGGTGGGGCTGTCGTTGCCGCCGCTGTGAGGTACAACCGTGGAAAAGACCCCCTGAAAATAAGGCCTGGTGCCTCTTTTGGAGGCCAAAACAAAATAAGACCAGGTCATATTTTTGGAGAAACGCAGTACTAGTCTGACCCGGTCAGATAGGTCAGGACGCTCCTGGTCCCTTTTCCCAAATACTGTCATTTAATGGGAGCTAGAAAACATTTCTTTTCCATGGCAGCCCTTACCCTATGGAACATTTTGTCCCCTGAAGTTTGACAGGCTTCCACCCTTTTAGCTTTCTGTAAGGCTCTAAAGCAGGGCTTTTCAACCAGTGGTGCGGGTACCACCTGTGGTACATTGGCACCTGGCAGGTGGTACGCGACCATCCTAGAAAAATGGTAGCGGGGGAGGGGAATGAGCTGAACTGGTGGCAGCACCACACAAGCCTGAGCGAGAGATGGCTGGAGCTGCAGGGCTGTCAGGGCTCAGCAGAAGCCCCAGGATCAGCACCAGGCTCCAGCTGGAGCTCAGCGCTGATCCTGGCGCTTCTGCTGAGCCCAGAAGAAGCGCCAATCAGCTGGAATGTTGCAGCATCTCCAGGGTCTTGTGATTTACATTCAGATGCTTGACAACTGATTCATATTTATGATGGTCACAATGTCCCAGGGTCATGTGAAGTGACCAAAACCTGCTGCAACAACCCAGCAGACGGGGGGGGGGATAAAAACCAAACACCCCCCACCCCACCCCCACTGCCAATCGTCCACAGAAATGCTCACAACAATGAAAACCTCGGACAGGAGGAAGAGCGCCGCCGGGTGGGCAGGCAGGTGTCTTGCTCGGCTGTGGCTTGGGGGCACTTTTTTCAGTGCCATTGTAACGTCGAACAGTCAGTAAGCGAACTGTTGTAAGTCGAGGACTAGCTGTACTTTATCACTTTTTTTCTTTTTTCTTTTTTTTTTTTTTTTTGGTCATCAAGTTTGCTAGGCGACTGGTGGTACTCTGATGTTGCCATATCCTAAAAGTGGTACAATGGGTGAAAAGGTTAAAAAGCCCTGCTCTAAAGACCTGGCTTTCCCCCCAAGTGTAGGTAGAGGATTCAATAATGGCACGTTAACAGGGATGGGCACCAGATTTTTATTGTCGTAATATTATATGTATTGACCGGTTGTTTATTTATTATTTTTAAAATGATTTTATATGACTTTTAATTTTTGATCAAGAACCACCCAGAGTTGGCTGAAAGATGGGCAGATATAGAAGTGTTCTAAATAAATGATGACTGCAATAATATAGGTCTTAATGTAGTTATCTGAGCTTCTCCCTAAATAAGGTGTAATTCTACCATAGAACTAAATGTTAATAAATTAATATGAAACAGAAATAACATAATTTGCATTACATCTATAGATCCTTATGCTTAATCAATGGTCAAAGATGGAAGTCCAAATTGTTTCCATTTTATTTCACAAAGGAAAAAATATATAAGCTAGAAAGGCAATCTTTGTGAAGAACAGGAATTTTAATAATGCATTAAACATATATGTCAAAGGGTTAAAGCAGTAAAGGAACAACTTGAATCACTTTCATGAATATTACCAGTTACAAAAGGAGAAGGAAGGAAAGAATTTTGTGCTTTGCACTCTCTAATTTCTTGTCTGGGAATAGCAGGAAGGGGAAGGGAAAAAACAGAAAAGCAGGGTGGGGGGGGGAGTGATGAGGAGGGAAATAAAAAAGTACTGCAGTAGAAACCTGTGGAGATAAGGAGAAACAATGGGAAAAGTCAGGGAAACCAAATGAAAGAAAAGGCAAAGTCTGCTAAGGAAAAACAAGATAAAAATAACGCTCTCAACAAAAATACAGAGCCTTTCTTCTGTACTTATAATCAAGCATTCTCAAAACTCTAAACATTCTATAGCAGCTATGTTTGCATAGCTGGTAATTTAGCAGGTTATTCCTGCTAAGGAATTGGCAACTCTTTTCACAGAACAAGCCTCTTAAGTACAGCAGTGTGCCCTCTTTCCTTTGTGCTTCCTTTTCTTCATGCTCCAGCCACATAACTTTATCTCTGCTTCCTTTCTGTGCACGCAGGAAGTGAAGAGTGATGACACAGCCTGTCTTTTCTCCTTTTGCTCTCAATATCACACACTATACTGCTATCCTTGCACTTTCCCTAAGGGAAAAGAACACATTTAGTATTTTTGTTAATTGAAAGCATCAAGGTGCAAAGAGGAGTTCTCAATCTCTGCTGATACTTTAGTATACTAAGCATTGCGCTGGGAACCCCAACCATCAACCTTTTAATGTAGTGCAGTGGTTCTCAACCTGTGGGTTGGGACCCCATTTGGGGTCGATCGACCATTTCACGGGGGTCGCCAAGCAAGGCTGTCCGCCATTTTTTTTGTCCGCCATTTTTTCCCCCTTTTCCGGCGGGTGCCTTACCTCCCTTGGGCTGGGCCAGCTGGTGGTCGGCCTGCTCCGTCTCTGCCGCTTGCCAGCTACGCCTCGGCCGGCGCAGGGGGTGGAACCACGCATGTGCGGCGCTCCCGGGCAGGGAAAGTCCTCGACTTACGACCGGTTTAGTCCTCGACTTACGACCGGTTTAGTCCTCGACTTACGACCACTTGGGGTCGCGGCATTAAAAAGGTTGAGAACCACTGATGTAGTGTGTATTTCCCATTCTCATTTATTTTTCTAGTTTTAAAAAATGTAGGCTTCTGGTTGGCAACCATAGAAAAAGATTTGATTATCATACTTATCCCTGATCTATAGTATTAATTGCAAGGCTCAATATTTAAATGATAACAATATCATTCACTTTTTAGAAACGGAAAATGGATGATGGTGATGATGACACAGTTCAAGCCAAAGTCTTGCGTCCCTTGCGTAGCTGTGAGGAACCTCTGACTCCACCACCCCACTCTCCTACCCCAATGCTGCAGCTGATCCATGATCCTGTCTCACCTCGAAGCATAGTGACGCGGTCCTCTCCAGGGGCGGGTCCTAGTGACCATCATGGTGCCAGTCGGGATGAACGCTTTAAGAGACGACAGATGCTTCGACTACAGGGCACAGAACGTACAGTTGTGCGGGAAAAGGAAAACAACCCTAGTGGCAAGAAAGAGCTTTCAGAGGTTGAAAAAGCCAAGCTTCATGGTTCATATCTCACAGTCACATTGCAAAGACCTACCAAAGACGTGCATGGCACTTCAATTGTACCCAAGTTGCAGGCTATCACTGCCTCCACTAATCTGAGACACTCCCCCCGTGTGGTCATGCGCCAAAGTTCAGCCAGGACACCCCAGCGGGGTGGAGATGAAGAAGCAGCAGAGGAGGAAGAGGAAGATGAAAGTGCAGATGAAGAAGAAGAGAATGCTGAGGAAAATGGGGCAGCCAGGCTAAATGGACAGGGGGGCAGGGCATCAGATAGTGAGGAAATCTGGATGCAAAAGGAAGTGTGGATGTCTGTCTTCCGATACCTTACTCGCAAGGAGCTTTGTGAATGTATGCGTGTATGCAAAACCTGGTACAAATGGTAAGTGTACAGAAATTGCTGCCAGAGCAGCTTTTATCGCTCATTTTGGTAATGCCTTTATTTTTCAGTGTCTTACACAATCCTTGCATACCCCTCAAAAAAAACCTTAGATCGGGTTGTATTTGCTGGGCCTCAACTGACAGATTTATGTATAAGCAGAAATGGGTATACAAAAAAGGAACAAAGATTAATGCAACAATATTTGTCTATACACAATATCTAATGTGTACATATTGCCTCCATGCTCGGGTGACAATTTGGAAAAAAAAATGTACAGGTAATAAGCAACTGTTTTTGCTAGTAATAGCTAAAAATGGAATCATGTTCATTGGAAGCATATATTCTGGACTGATCTCGTGTAATATTTTGCATGTCACAGTCTAGGCATGACTTAAATATGTTATAATATTCTAAGGAGAACTGCCATCTGGTGCATTTTAAACTCCCTGAATTCTGAGTTTTGTGTTCAAATGTTTATAAATCAAAGTAAAGATGTTTCTGTTCTATCAGCAAATTATATTTAAAGAACTTTGCTTTGATTCTTTGTTCAGTCTTCTTTCAGTGAAAAAAGCTAGCTCTGAGCTTTTAAGTACAGTACTTAATACTGGAATATGTAGCTATACACTGAGAATTTGTATGAGCTCACATTACAAATCTCTTCAACTGAAATATTCGATCTGGGTGTATTGCTACACAATTCTTTGGTCTCTGCATAAGTTTCAGACCTGCTTCTTCAGTCTCTTTGTTGGGAAAAAACATCCTATCTCAACTTGCCACAGGAACTGGTTTATATTTCCCCTTGAGGATTCTCATCCATTGAATCCTTCCCAAGCTTTCTCTAAGTTTGTTGAAATTAGCTCTCTTAAAGTCCAAGTTTGACTGTGTTCTATTGCTTGTGCTTGCATAATGTTGAATTTCAATATTGCACGGTCACTCCCCCCCCCAAGGTTCCTGTGGTTTCAACACCTTCTATCATTTCTTCTCTGTTACGTGAGAATTAAGTCGAATATGGCTGATCCCCTAGTTTCCTTCTCTACTTTTTGGGAGACAAAGTTGTCTGCTAAGTTTATATTTAGGTTGAAGTCAAACAACAAGCATGAACCATCATTTTGACTTTTTCCAGTTTTCTGTCTTCATGCTTTGAATAAGATATTTTCATATGTAGTGAACATCCATCCATCTATCATCTACAGGGATTGGGAGGGAGTAAATGTGTCAACAATTATCCAGACAAAATTGTTCTAATCACTACAAAGCTTCATAGATCCAAATGCACTGTTTGAAGGATTATTGTACAGCAGTGATCTAACTACTGTAAAACTTATCTTTGTAAATAGAAAAACTTAACTTTCACATATCAAAAACAAAAGCATAAATAAATATATATATATATGGTGAAGAAATGGAAGACAGAAAAAAACAAGCTATATATCCATATCATACTTCAAGCTATATCTTTCCTATCTAGACTTTGTTTCAAAGAAAATATTGATCCACTACACTATGATAACCTTAGTCTTGCCCCAAAAGATAGCTGTTGCAGATTTGTCAGGAACTGTTTAAGTATATATAAGCCAGGGGTTCTCAACCTTGGCAACTTTAAGACTTCTGGACTTCAACTCCCAGAATTCCTCAGCCAGCTTGGCTGGCTTGGCTGGCTGAGGAATTCTGGGAGTTGAAGTCCACAAGTCTTAAAGTTGCCAAGGTTGAGAACCCCTGTTATAAGCGATGTAGGAAAGTATGTTCTATATCTAAGTCAATATATTTGATAGGTGCGGTGATAGGAGATTGTGGACAAAGATTGACTTAAGCAGATACAAATCCATCACACCCATGGCTCTTGGTGGTATAATCAGGAGGCAACCAGTCAGCCTTGACCTCAGCTGGACCAATATTTCTAGAAAACAGCTTACCTGGCTCATCAACAGATTACCAGGTAAGTGCCTTTAACAAGTTGGATGCATCTTTCTATCATAGCCTCACATTAAAGGTTCCCCATTGAACAGATTGCTCTCCTGTGATAGTCGATCACTAAGATTGGTTGTGAATACATTTTAGGATTCTGAATATCATGTAGTGTTCCTTTGCTTTCCCAAAGATAGTCATAGATTGGATTTGTTACTTGGCCTAACTCTTAATAAGCTGTGAGGCAAATGTTAATGGATTATCAAAGAAGCATTGTTCTTATAATACTGATACCATTCTTATTCTGTGGACCCCAGCAATGGTCTACTATTGCCTCACACTATTTATAACCTGGAATGAAGGCTCAAAGTAGAAGCCTAGTAATTAGAGTCCTGGAATAACTATGGAAAATGATTTCCAAACAGATATGGAAAATTATATAAAATATTTTCACATGCGTCTGTCTATCATTTTTCAACAGGCCTCAAAGACCTCATCTTGGCAGGCTGCTCCTGGTCAGCAGTATCTGCTCTCAGTACCTCTACCTGCCCCCTTCTCAGGACCCTCGATCTTCGGTGGGCAGTAGGAATCAAGGATCCTCAGATTCGGGACTTGCTGACACCTCCATCAGATAAACCCAGTATGTTTCTTTGTCATTTTCATACAGCAGGAATTTCTGGATAATGTATGGGTGGCAGACAGATTGCTAATGAGTAAGAGATTTAAAAGGGGAAGTTTGGGGCTGAAATATACAATGTTCGTTTTTTGTGCCCTTTCAATGTTATTATGTATTATATAATAGGTCAAGACAATCGCAGCAAACTCCGTAACATGATAGACTTCCGATTGGCCGGGCTGGATATTACTGATGTCACACTCCGGCTCATCATTCGCCACATGCCTGCGCTCTCACGACTTGATCTTGGTCACTGCAATCACCTTACAGACCAGTCAGCCAACCTGTTAACAGCTGTTGGATCTTCCACACGAAACTCACTCACTGAAATTAATATGGCAGGTATGTGCACTTGCACTTTTTCAAAATACATCTCTGCCCTGGCAAGAACCACTAACCTGAATGCCCTCTAGTTTTTTGCCCTATGGTTGCAGAAGAGGGCAATTTCAAGCAGATGGTGACTTCTTTTACTCCAAGTCACAAAGCTATGACATTTTTCTCCTGAACCCAAAGTCCCATGAAAGTCTGAGATGCTTATCTTCCATATTTCACGGGCTTTTCCTCCAGTCTTTATTAAATGTGGATATAGCAAAACAGTCACCAGAGATAAAACTTAATCTGCATGTATTTGAACTTGGATAATATTCAATTGTAAATATTTTTAAGAAATTCATTTGAAGTAGCATGTTAAAATTAAATTCCATATATAGTACAAGCATTTTACTGATTGTTGCACATCCACATTCAATAAAAAAAATTTGACATACACCCCAGGAGGAAAATAATCCTTAACAAAATGGTCATTCCATAACAGCTTGTCTAATTGCTAATTATGTCAGCTTGAAGAACTGTTCTGTTAGATGCTTAAACTGATCTGGAGATCAGACTGTATGAAAGATTAAGAACAGCTAATGGAGAATTACCCTTTAAATGTGTGCTTCAGTACTGTTGTGCATTTATATCTCTCCTGCTCTGTAATATTTAACACATTGAAGAAGTGAGCATGAGAGCCAGTTTGGTGTAGTGGTGAGGGTGCTGGCCTAGAAACCAAGAGACTGAGTTCTAGTCCCAAAATAGGCATGAAAGCCAGCTGGGTGACTTCGGGCCAGCCACTCACGTCACAGGATCGTGGGGAGAATAGGTGGTATAAAAGGAGTGTTATGTTTCTTTGCCACCTTAAGTTACTTATAAAGTAATAAAGGCAGGATAAAATTGAATCAAGAAATGAATATTATATGTCTCATACTGCCTTACTTTCCATAGGTTGCAATAAGCTCACAGACCAGTCCCTGCTGTACCTGCGACGCATCTCTAATGTCACTCTGATAGATCTGCGTGGCTGCAAACAGATCACCCGTAAGGCCTGCGAGCACTTCATTTCAGACCTGTCAATCAACAGCCTCTATTGCCTGTCAGATGAAAAGCTGATCCAAAAAATCAGCTAGAAATTTGCCACAGAAAGACTGAAGAGAAGGAAAAATCCCAGACAAACCCCTCTTGGAGAGCAGATCCTCCCTCAGTTTACCCCATCTCTACAGTCAGGAGAGATGCCAGCCTGATTGTGATCGCAATGACCCTCCTCTACTTGGGACTTCTGTAAACCAGAAAATCCCACCAGGCAGTTGAGTAAGTGGCAGCAAGAAGAGATGGACAATCGCTCTTGTTGGGGTACTTGCTCATCAGCTACATGCTCTAATTTTTGTAGCCACTTTTTCAGGGGGAACATGACCTTTTCTCTCCACCTTTTCCCCTTCTCATAAATCCTGTGAAAACAGATTATACTTCCTCATCAGATTATGGGAAACTTGACCTGGATAGTACAAAACAGGTGCATTTCTGTTCCCTGTTTCTGTACTGTCATGGTATACAATTTGTTACTAAGTCTTCAGAGTTACTAAGACTTGAGCGTAACTGCTCTTGCCCACCACATTCTGCTAAGCTTCCTTTTTTCACTCACCAGCAGCTGAATGGGCAGCTACTGCTTTGTGCTGATTACTCAGAGCTGCAGTGTCAGCAGTAGGGATGCCTGTTTTGCGGTGAGGGTCTCTCCGTGTGCCCTCAGTTTAGCTCGCAGGCATCTCCCAACTTAAAGCTAGTGAGGGGATGGCGGAACTTTCAGAATAAGGGAGCCATGTTCTTATCCTAGATTATCCCAGAAAAGGGAGAAGGTGTCAGACAAGCATGTTCTACCTTTCCTGCTATGAAAAGATGGCAGCACTTGTGTAGAGAAAAAGCTGCAGTATAGCTTGAAGGCTTCAGGGGCATCCATTGGGATTTCTAACACCAGCAGAAATGGTCTCTATTGTTCCGTACGTCTGCTGAAATTAGCATTCTTAGAGATGCTGGCTAGAACAAATGCCTACATCCTGGGGGGTGCATAACTGTTGGCTCTTGAGCTGGAAGACGGGTTAATGCTCCATTAGCTGCCTCTCTTCCTTTGCAATGAATGGCCGGTCCAAAGAACTTCTCTCTTGGGCAGCAGAGAGCTTTTTGCACTTTAGAAAGAAAGGTAATATTTTGGGTCCCTATTTTATTTTCCCCTGCTTGAGTGACTGGACACTCCTTCCAGCTGTCTGAGTTTGTCAGGGTTTGAATGCACACTTTGCACTCTGCTCTCTTCCCCATAGTGATAGCACAAATTGGACTGCCCTCCCCCTTGCCTCCCCCTCTGATCTTCAAATGGCAAAAAAAAAAAAAAAAGCAGCTCTCCAGTGTCTGTGCAGCAAGGGAAAGGAGGAGAGTGGTTGCAGAATTGGAGGAAGACCCAGTGCACCCTTGCTGCTGCTTCTGAAGCAATAAGGGAGGGGGAGGAATCCACCCATAACTCTCCAAATCGCCCAGCCTAATTGCATTGAATGCTGTGGCAACTGAGCCTCGGGGAAGACTGACTTCCCCTGCACTATTGGGGATGGGGGTGAGGGAGATAACATTTAGATCTACTGAAATCCAATGGTTCCCCCCTCACTTCCATATGAGGAGCAGGCTTCTTTGCCAAGAGGACAATGCTAGTGTGATGAGTTCCAGAGTGCCTCAATATACAGGAGCTTTGCTGCAAATTGAATTTTTCTGCAAAAATGCCCACTGATCTCCTAGAAGTGGAAACTTTCTGCCTTGTTGTGTTGGCTCCTGTGGGAAAAAAAAATTGTAGAACCAATCTTTTTGTGCTTTTTTTTTGTTTGTTTGTTTGTTTCCAAGAGAAAGGTGAGAATAGCCATAAATAGGAGATTCAAGTGCATCTGCCCAGATAACTCCCACATTGAGTTTTCTACACTCTGGGTATTTTGTGTTTTTGTTTTCTCAAAAGTGGGAGCACCTTCATAACTCCATGTGCATTGATCAGCCCAAGAAGTGCTGAACTACAGCAAGTTGGCATGACAGGAGCATTAGTCTGGGAGGAATCTCGTCCTGCGGCAAGAGGGATGAAAAAGCATCAGCAGACTGATCGGGGAGGGTATTGTTGTGAGTTTAGGCTTTTATTATCCTACAGCCTTCTCAGAAATGGCCCTCAAATGACTGTGGCTTAAGAGACTTAAAAGTAATTGTGAAACTTCATTGCCTAAACTGATCACCACTTCAGAGGGCAAGTGGTGACACAAAGGAAAGAAAAATTATATATAAAATCACTTGGTGATTTAAAAAAGAAACAAAAGACAAACATGCTCCCTAAATAAAACTCCCTAAGAAAGTCACTATTGTCTAAAAGGGTTTGGTTGTTATTTTGTGTTTTTCTTTTCTTTGGTTTGTTTGTTTGTTTGTTTGAAGAAATTGTAAATATATATTTTTTTGTTGCTAACTTAGAGTCAATCTCCAATGTTGTGCTTCAAAATTAAATGTAAGCATTAAGGGTAAAAGAAACCAAGTCTTGCGCTCTCGCGGTTGACATGTTTTAGGGTTGGGGAATATTTGGGGCTAAAGGGGAGGGAAGCTAGTTGGGATTTTTCATTTTCTAATCATTTGCCAATAATGGTTTTAGAGAATCTTTCCTCAAACATATTACCACAGATCTGAGACACAAGTGAAAGGGGGAAGAAAAGATACCAGCCTCTGAAGGGAGACTTTGTTTCAATGGGGTGGATTTTGGAATAAACATTTCAAGAAAAAATATGTGGGGTCTGCATATTGATTACCCTTGATTTGAGCTGCATTGTAACAGCATGAATGAGAAAACTCAGTTGTCTAATCCACTATGCATTTTTCCTTCCCACATTTGCTATCTTATGAATTCTGCACTATTAAAATGATATATGCTAGCAATACTTTTAGCCAGAAAAAATTTAATATGTATCAGTAGTAGACATTTGCTCTATCTACATAACTTTGCAAATCTTAGTAATCTTATTGTGCATTCAAAATTAGCAGTTCTAGCAAAGGGCAGTAAGCTACATACATAAAGCACTGAAACCATCTTTTCAACCATTTATTTTGTCTGGCAAACTATAGCTTCCGAAATTGAAGCAAATGCTATCTTCATACTTTAAAAGTACATTCGAGGTTATCAAAATTAGGAACGCTAGGCTCAATATGCTAGGCCAATACCTGTGATTTTGTTTACAGTACATCGATGGCAGTCGAACATATATGGAGCACACTTCTTGGAATAAATATGCTGCACGAGCTAGAGGGGTTTATTCTGAAATGTTATAAAAACAGTGGAATATGGCCATATTCTAAAATTTTCTATCCGTATTTCGTACCTTATGACATTTAAGATTATAAATAATGTTTGGACCCTTTATTTCCTTCTTGCTTTTTAATCTCTTTGAATTCTTGAGATTCTATATGAACTACAATCTGTTTATTTTATACAAAAGAGTAAACATAATATATTGTACAAGTAATACTGAGATCTTGATGTCTTCTGGATACAAGGTGCTAATTAATAGGAATTGAAATTATAAATATTTAACATGTATTCTGGTGGGATGTAACACCTGCATGCAGTCATTACGTATAGATTATTCATGCTGATTTGTTTTAATTCATGGTGCTTGTTCCTATCAACTTATATCTACCTGATCTTTTGTGCATCAAAAGCTACAACCTGCCAGTACAAAAATAGTATGTTCTCTTAAAACCTACTACAAAACCAGGATTAATTCAAGCAAACAGCTATGATTTGGTACTTAAATTTATTTTAAAGCTATCCTGGGAATAAATCATTGCAGTAAGCAAAAGTAAGGGGAAATAAAACAGCAAAAGTGTCAATCAAATCTGGGGAAGAATGTTGGGGAATGTTGCTGCTAGCAAATACAAACCTTAACAGATTAATGGAATGAAACCTCATGGTTGAAAACAGCATCCTTATTGAACATTAAATATAAATGGATTTCTGACAGAAAAGAGGTGCAAAGAAAACTCTTGGAATGTGTAGATGTTCTGATTTGGCACAAAACTTGGGAATAGTTTCAGGAAATGCCACATAAATAAGTCACTGTGCAAGAGCAAAGAGAACCAGTTTGGTGCAGTGGTTAAGGCACCAGGCCAGAAATTAGGAGACTGAATTGTAATCCAATGTTAGACACAAAGCCAGCTGGGTGACCTTGAGCCAGTCGCTTTCAGCCCTAGCAAGAAGGCAATGGCAAAATCATTTTTGAAAAACCTTGCCAAGAAAACTGCACAGACTTGTTAGGCAGTAGCCAGGAGTCAACAATGACTCAAAGGCACCAAATAAATAAAAATAAGAACAATAGGATATGGTCTTAAGATCCATAAAAGCATTTTATTTAGTAAGTAATTTTCAAAGCCAGCGCGTTTTTTTAGAACAATACAAAGGGCAAAGTAAATGTCTTCCTTAAATATGTAAAGTTATTTCGAAATAAGGGGAGGCCTGGGTATAAAATCAAAACCTGAAGGTTTCTTCAGCTGGGAAATCGTGGACTAGCTAGTAACCTTAGTCCATCGAAGGCTATGTGTACATGCTGCATTTTTTGAAGCTGTAAAGGCACTATCTCAATTCCTGCCATTTTCTCCTGTATGTAATCTTTTCTAGGTGGTTGGCTAATTGAGTTCTGCATTTCTGTTCTTTAAAAAGCTTTTGGTATATTGTCTGTATATATGAAAGCACCGAGTGTCTTCCTATTAAGCCACTGCCATCTTTTTACCCTAATTAATATTTCTATTGCTCTGCTCCCTCCATTCTTTCCTCTTTACCCTCCAAAAACTTATCCATTTCTACCATAACTTAAGCTTCCTCTCTAAGCAACAGTTACAAATTAATTCCTATCTTAAATATCACTCCAGAATTCAGTTGTCTAAATTCAGAACTTCATTCTTCATTCAGGGATGAGTTATTTGAAGGCAGTGCCATTGTTATATATTAATATCAAGCATGAATGACTGACCTAGGTCATATTATGCTTTGGTTTGGGCTATGCATGTTACATGATTTACAAGCCGTGGTTTATGGGTTAGTACACTCCAGCCATCAGCTAGCATACTGCTAATCTCACCAGGCTTT